ATAAATTTAACTATTATAGTTATACACAGAATAGTAATAATTGATCGAATACAATTGATAACTACATACTTGCGGTTGGTAGGTGAATGACATAATATTTATATTTAAATCTGCTACAAAAGATCATTGCTCTTTTTCTTTGTTGGCACTCATTAGTCATTATATAAGAAATGCAGGGAAAGCTGCAATAGTGCGATTTTTCATGGCGTATATTGAGGCGACATACTTTGACAAAGCAATAGCGGAGAAATTGGGAAGAATGACTGATCGATTGGATTGAATATTATTTGCACGTGCCCATGCAATCTACGTGTTAGAGATATATTAGCAAAATCTGTTTGTAAGCATTCTTTAAGACAAATCAAAAATTTTATATCTAGCAAAATCTTTCTATTGTTCAAAATAACTTGTTGTTTGAAAATATATATTACAAACTACAAGCTCGTTTAATACAAATGTTGCAGGAGACAGAAACAAAGGGATCCACCACAAATAGACAGTGCAATAAATAATAAATTCCCTAGACAAAGAAAGCCATCATGAGAAATGTAGCTACAGATGAATCAAAAGATGTAAATATTGTAAATAATTGAAAGGGTTGGGATTTGGTTGGCACTGAAAAGAAAACCCAAAGCAAATCGAGTGCAAACTTAAAATCGAAAGAATCGAAAATCAGCAATGACAAATATATAGCGGGTATGTTTTAATTTAGACTAGAAACAACAAGGGGAATATAGCTGTGAGGCCAACTTCAAAAGCTGTGCATGTGGAACTCAGCAAGCCTTTCTCGACACAAAAATTTGGAGGGTGAGTTCGCCTTTAAGACGAATTGGAAGGACAGTTGCCGGGCCAAACCAAAAATGTGTTTGCACTGTGTTTTAATTTCTTGTATTAAAAACCNTTTTCTTGTAATTATGAGTCTCTATTTTTAATAGTAATTGAGACTATCTTAAACTGCACTGTTTATTAATCTTTGCACAATAAAGATAGCAGGTTTTTTCAAAAGGTTTTTGTCCATTGCTTCCAATAACACAGTGCTTCAGCACGTGAGGGGCCACATGTGGAGCATGTCGTATCAATGGAGAGTTTTGAGGATATTTCATTCTTCTTGACTCGGTACAAAATCTTGTTCGAATTTTGGGAACGGAACAAAAGAAAGTTGGGTCGAATGAAACAACAGGCTCATTAATTTTTGATTGCACGAGTCGCGCTACGCAGTTAAACTAGGATCAATTCATACCAGACGAGGAGTCAATTTGAGGTGAGTGGCATTTGTTATTGAACGTACCTACCACGCGTCACTGTTTGGGGTTTGGCTTCAGATTATGCCATTACCCGAAATGAACCTCAAATCAAACAAAATAGATAGATAGATTCTTTTTGTCTTTCTAATAATAATTCAACTGAGACTTTGAAGTATTCAAGGCCATGTTCAGCTGAAGTGTAATTAATCTTGTAGTATAAAGTATTCGAAAATGTTAACCTTTGAAAAGCTATTTTGGAAACAATGCCAAACAATTAATAAAAATTAAACTAAATTGTTGGGGACCCTTGAAGCGGGTTCCCTCCAAAAATGGGCATATGCTGCTTGAAGTGTGGAGAGCACACGGTATTCTTTAGTAAAAGGCGAAAGAATAGTTCGCTTTGTGATCACCACGCAGCTGCGTGCCAATGCCAAATGTTTTTGTAGCCATTAATACTGGACATTCTCCATTATGAGATTTATTCCTTTTCGATGTGGGAACTATGAGATTAATTTTTCACATAGTATATATAAGATTACAACAATAGTCAACATAGCAGCTGCTGTTATTTATGAAATATATGTAGTTTAACATCTTCCAAATTTGTACTGATTTTATTGTATGTAGTTTAACATGAGTCCGGAGAGCGCAGGCGCGACGAGCACGAGACACGTACACACAACTCAGTTTGAAATTCATTAATACAAGTGACATTTCAAGATATGAAATTGAAATAGAACATTGTTAATGTTCATCTTGTGTTCGTTATTTTTTCTTCTTCTAAACACAAGTCAGTCTCTCGAAATCATATATATTTGTCGTATCACTATACAAGATAAAAGTCGTTATATCTTGAAATGTTTGTCGAAAACCTCATGCACATGAGGATAGAATTGACAATAGAATTCCGATTATATTGGGAGCCAGGTGAAGTTTTAAAATAACCGCAATCCCAATAACGTTGTTTAGCAACTAAGAGAGCAAACTATTGGGTTTCCTTTAGTGCCTCAAAACACTTCAAAATTGCAGTCTGTTTTAGGTTACGCACAAAAACCGGGAATTGTTAGTATTGAAGCAGAGTGATTGTGTGATCCCTAAAAAATGCTCGCTAAAAACAAGAAAACAGACATAAACACAATGCCAAGTTATAAACTATAACTGAAGACTAGAATTAGTGAGAGTTGTGGCAAAATGAGGATACCAATATAGAGAAATTAGGAAGAGCAATTGATCGGTTGGGTTAAATATTAACTGTCTAGATATATATAGCAAAAGCTGTTTTAGGCCTATGCACGCTCCGTCTTGAGTGATCTGCACTCTTAAAGCTGTTTTACTATCATATGCGATGGGCCGTGAATGCTCAGGTAAGTGCTCTCGAGGCCAACTACAGGGTGTCATATTAAGCACTTGAGAGGCCAACTGCAGGGTATCAAGATTCAAGACACAAAATAATCAAAACTAGACTGAAAATTTCCATTGCTTTGTAGAAGACGGGTGCTTGAGAGACTGGATGATAGACCTGAAATTTTGTAGAAGGGAATTAATAACTTTGGACTCCTAACATGTGTTCACTCCAAAAGTTCATAATATGCTACAAACACAATTCTCATACAGTAATATGCTACAACCCAATTCTCACAACAATATGCTACAAACACAGGCTTATCCAAAGCACAACTGCTGAAAAAAAACGTAATTAAACATATGGAAAAAAAATATTATGAAGACTAAATTGTAGGGGACCTCGTTCCAAAAGGAAATGGGTTCCCTCCAAAAATGTGCGTATGCTGCTTAATTGTGGAGGGCACACGGTATTCTTTAGTAAAAGGCGAAAGAATAGTTCGCTCTGTGCTCACCACGCAGCTGGGTGAATACCATGGCTAATGTTGTGGTCATTTTATAGTAGGAACTATCTGTTGAAATTATATTCATTTGCCAATGTGGGACATCCAAGTATTTGAACACTCTCTTGCCCTTCTGAATGCTTCTCCTCCCCCAAAGCTCATATGGAGAAATAAAGAAAAAAAAGATCAAAATTAATCTGAATCCCAGACACAAATCTGAATCATTATGGAAATGTGATCTCAAGTTCATTTTCTTTAATTCATTAAAAACTTTTCAGGACTTAATATGTACAGAGTACTGCAGAAGAGAATTACAATGGTCAATTAACTAATCATGATTTTATATAGTTATGCAATTACCAATGAATTGTGAATTTTGTTATCATATAAATGACAATCGTCTGTTTTGTATACAAAAAAAAAATGAAGGAGTATGTAGGTAGGTAGACATGGCCACGGGCCGAACCGGACCGCGAACCGGTACCGAACCGGCCCGGACCGGCCCGTAACCGGCCATATTCGGGTCGGTCCGTTGGACCGAAGCGCAAGGGTTNGGGAACCGTCGGAACCGGCCGAAAACCGGCGGGTCGACGAACCGGCGGGTCCGGGCCCGAACCGGTCCCGGACCGTCACTTTTTTCGGTCCGGGTCCGGGCCTCGTCCATGTGGACCGTGGACCCGGCGGGCAGGGCCGGGCCCGGACCCGGCACCTGGCCACGTCTATAGGTAGGGTAGTAATGAAACAGATCAGTATGCATCAAAAACCATGCAACATTGGTAGGGTAGTAATGAAACAGATCAGTATGCATCAAAAACCATGCAACATTAAAATGGCTGACCAATTAAAGCACGACAAAACTCTAGATTGGTCAAGTGTTACTTAAAACTGATCATCTAAGCCTAACTTGAACTCAGAATTGGGCAGGGGCCGCGCGAACGCAGGCCCCCACGACCACAAATTATGACGTAGGCTCGACCACTTGGGCCGACCTTAGGCGGGCGCCCCTCCCAAGTGCAATGGAGGTCGCCAACCTAGGCCATGGGCCTTCTTGATCACCCATTGACCCCGTCCAGGTAAGTATGTAATTCAGTGCACTTCCTTATCATTATATACATCCATTGCCCAGTTAAAAAATGTTCTACTTTCCATGTGGGATATAAGATCCTCACTTTATCTGTTCTGTTTAACAAAATGTATAATTTTCAGTCACAGAAACTTCAAGGCATCATTAGACATTAAAATCTTGGGTTTTTGCCAGAAAGAAAACTGTAGAGGTTCTATGCATACACAAAGATTGAGGGTCATTCGAATTTCGATTCCCCGGAAAAGTCATACACCACGTGCAAGATGGGCAGCCATCCACAGTAAGGAACTATTATTCTCCCGGAGAGCACATATTCTATCTCTGTTTGAAATATTATCTCACCCTTTCTTGATTAGTATTTCACTAACAAGAAACCGTGAAGAAAAAGTTTCTCTTTTGTTTCTTGCATTTACAATTAATAATTTCGCATTTTCTGCCCTTATTTGCAAGAAAAATGACAGAATGACTCTTTTCTTTTGATGTTCAAGAATGGTCTCGAAGACCCAAGCAGCTGACTATCCTCATGGACCGGTCTAAATTATTGCAATAATTTAACTGGTCATGTACTCATGTTAGTGAAATCCACATGGCAGCCATGTGCTCGTATAATATATAGCGCAGCCGAATTCAAAGAATACCCACGACATAAAATTGAAGGAGAGTTTTTCTTTCTCAATATGAAGAAGCACTTGACTCACTTGGACTTGACCTATAATGATATCGAAGGGGCTCGAATTCCAATTTTTCATTGGTCAGCTGGAAAAATTGCAATATCTTGATCTTTCAAGTGCTTGAATTCAAGGTGCAATCCTTTATCAAACTGTAAAAATGTCGTGGCTTAAATACCTCAATCTTGGAGATTTTAACTCTATAGTGCCTCATTGGATTGGTAGTCTTGAAACTTCGGTGCATTTAGATTTAAGTGATTGCAGATTGTATAATCAACTTCCACTTGACTGGCAAATTGTGACAGGACTCAAATTTCTGAACTTACTTTCAAACAATCTTAATTTCAACTTTTTTCTGACTGGTTTAGTAGCTTTAGTCATCTTTGGGTACATTCAAGGTGAAGTCTACTACAATAGGCAATTTAACGTCTTTGGTTAGTCTTAAATTTTCCCAAAATCAGCTCGAAGGTACATTGCCAAAATTCCTTAAGGATCTGCGTAATGTCGAACATTTATTTTTTTATTTTTTTTGCCAAGAAGCAGGTTCTATGGATACAGACATTTTTAGGATGTGTTTCGGAAAATTTGAAAATCTTACTTAGTCCTGAAGAAGCTTTCTGGCCAGTAACCAATTAATCTTGGGCGACTAACCAAGTTACAAGAAATAAACCGTAGGTTTCCTCACTGGATTCAGCACGTGATGAATTTGAGTTACATGGTCTTAGCAAAAATGGTATTGTCCGACACCATTCCTGATTGGTTTTGGGATAAAGCAATCCCTAAGCTGGGGTAGACATAACCTTCGAGACAATTTCTTGTCCGAATAAATGCATGATTGTTGGATGATCATTGGACATTGCTTGAGTGTTTTAAGGATAGAATGAAGTACTATGATTGGAAAAATCCCAGGTTCTTTTGGATTTTGTTTGCATTTGTGTTGGAACAAATTATCCAGAGAAATCTATCATCTTTACTGGGCTTGTGCTGGTTCATTGTACATTAAGTAGGGAAATCCCTTAAACATGATTATATATATTTTGTGTGCCAAAAAACTAAGCGCAAGTTATACAATACAAAAATTTAAAATCAATTGTAGGGCCCATTTTCCAAAAGGAAGTGGATCCCCTCCAAAAAGAGGCGTATGCTGCTTGTAGTGTGGAGAGCATACGGTATTCTTTAGTAAAAGGCGAAAGAATAGTTCGCTTTGTGCTCACCACGCAGCTGCGTGATATTACCGAACGTTTTCATGGCCATTAATACTGGACATTATTCATTTTGAGGTGTATTATTTTTCAATGTGGGACTCATGTGCGGCTACTTTTCCACATGGTAGATTAGAGCAGTGGTCAACATAGCTGCTAGTGATTATATTTTGTTTGGCATGGAATCCAGAGGTGATATTCAAAATTTTATTCTAAATATTCGATCTGCTGCGAATATGTGGAAATTGTTATCACTCGCATATAAAAGAAATGTTAAAAATCACTTGGCTGAGCTCTAAAGTATAATTGCACATGAATGTTATGAATTGTACAGACGATAAGTTTATGACATGAATATGGCAGCAATTTTTAAAATTGTTGTATCAATGTAGATATTTTAAGTCAAGACATGAACTACGTGGCGATTAATTTAGAAATCTGGAGGCCAAAAGAAAAGGGCGAAGGATTGTGCATTTACACTACGCATCAACCGATGTTGCTCGTTCTACTCTATTGAAGAATAGGGAGGCCGAAGTGGGGAGAGGAAAGAAGATGTCCGAGAGATGAGCGCCCTTCCGGTTTCGGGGCCTTAATGGAATGGAATCAGGGATCCCAAAGTGTATTAGCTTAAGGCAAGCATGAGTTTTTTCCTTTTCTCATCGGGCCAGGATCGATAGCCCTTCGCCCTGGTGTGGTGGAAGAAATGCGGTCAGATTCAGAATCCCCAATGTATTGCCTTCTTACCTTCGCTCCAAGGTTATAACATATGCTCTTAGTTGCCAGGTACAAACGAAGCGAAGTGAAGTCAAGAAGAAGTTGATCAAACGAAGACTCCAGGTCACTGAAACGAACACAAGGCTTTAGCAAGCAACCATATAATCAGTGAGGTTGCTCAAGATTTTCCTTTTTCCATTTCTCTTTAAATTATTTCGCTTGCATTCGAGTACGCATGTTACCCTCATTATTTAAAGAGCAAAATGCGAGCAGATATATGCCTCTGCTACATGTTTATTCTCAGAAATCAGGCTTAGTTTTGTTATTTAAAACAATATACCGTGTTGATGTATAATGAAGATCAAACGTTGTAATATTGACCCTCACTTTGATTTTTTTTGCTTTTTTATTATTCTTCATATGACCAACCATTTCTGTTGTTTTCTGATATTGTCTGGATATATATTTAATGATACATCAAATGTTAGGACATAATGCAGAAGTAGTAAAACTAGAAAGAGCTCGGTTGTATGGATGGACTATTATCGAAAATCGCTGGAAAAAAAAAATAAAAAAAAATGCTTATCCAATGGGCAGAGGATCAGAAAGGTGTAGCTAGGTAGAAAAATCGAATGTGGTGGGGCTATTGATAGATAATTGTGCACAAGTGCTAAGTAGAAGCTAAACTGCGCAGAGCATCATCACAATAGTTCTTCTCATGACTGAGTCGCTAAGATTAACAAATTTATAAAAGATTAAATTATAAGAAGTTCAAACTTCTCCGGTTATAATGTGACTGTTCCGACTTAATTGCTATACTGTGTATCCATGCTTATAAAATATTGAATTAAGTGAGTTAAGAACCTTGTTTTAGCAGTTGGCACTGTGTTTCATCTGTAACTAAATTTAGACACCGCAATTAATTAACCATCTTTCATGATCACAGATGAAACCATCAGCTCAATTAGCCAACAAACTCAATCTATTTTCGTCTCAGTTATTGTTAAACCACATTATCAAATTCGTTCTGTTTTTTGTCTCAGTTATTAAACCACACCGTCAATTTAGCTTGCAGAATGTTTTATAAGTCTGAGTACAATGCAATAAACTATTTACAAACACCATTCACTGGTTTATCATAATATAGAACATTCTTAAAGCTGTTCTATGATCATAGGCGATGGGCAGTGAGTGCTCAGGTAAGCACTCTCGAGGCCTACTGCAGGGTATTAAGACACAAAAAAAACCGAAAAATAGACAAAAAAATAATCTGTATCCTAAGATACAAATCCGAATCATTATGGAAAAATGATCTTAAGTTCATTTCTTTTAATTCATCAAAAACTTTTCAGGACTTGTATATTGAGTACTGCAGATGATAATTATGCAGTGATGAATTAATTAATCGTGATTTTATATAATTATACAATTACGAATTGATTATAAATTTATTATATAATAAAAATCATCTGATTTACTTTGATAGGCCACTGATATCCTTATGAAAGAGTTCATCAAGTACAGAGTAATGAACACTGATATCCTTATGCATCAAAGAGCAGGGTACATATCAAAATATCATGGTCATTAATTAACTTAATAATTGATTATAAGGAAGCAATATTGGATGTTTAATATACAAGTAGATGAATTAGAGCTGTTGGGTTTAACCCAAATTAAAACTAGGAATTGGGCAGGGGCCGCGCGAACGCAGGCCCCCACGACCACAAATTATGACGTAGGCTCGACCACTTGGGCCGACCTTAGGCGGGCGCCCCTCCCAAGTGCAATGGAAGTCGCCAACCTAGGCCATGGGCCTTCTTGATCACCCATTGACCCCGTCCAGGTAAGTATGTAATCCAATGCACTTCCTTATTGTTATATACATCCAGTGCCAATTTGAAAAACATTCTACTTTCCATGTGGGACAGAGGATCCTCACTTTTCCTGTTTTGTTTAACTATCAGTCTATCAGCCATGGGAACTTCAAGGCATCATCAGTGTTCACTATATATATTCCGCAACCGCAAGTACATTTGAATCATTATAGTTTCTATGCATATATAAAGATTGAGGATCATTCGAATTTTGATTCTTGGAGAGATTTCTCACACTTCGCCCAAGATGGGTAACCATCCACAGCAATGAACCATATATTGTCCAAAAGAGAGCACATATTCTATGTCTGTTTGAAGCATTATCTCACTCTTTCTTAATTAGTATTTGATGATTAGTATTTCACTAACAAGAAAAGTGTAAATTTTATTCTTTTCCTCGTTTGTTTCTCACATTTACAATTAATAATTTCGCATTTTGTGCCGTGATTTGCAAGAAGAATGACAGAATGGCTCATTTGATGTTCAAGAATGATCTAAAAGACCCAAGAATCCTTCTTTACTCAACATGAAGAAGACTTGCCTCATTTTTACCTGAGCTGTGGTTTTGAAGGGTCTTTGAGTTCCAATTTTCATTGGTCAACTGGAAACATTGCAATGTCTTGATCTCTCAAGTGCCCAATTTCAGGGTGTAATCCCTTATCAAATTGGAAGGATGTTAACTACCTAAAAATCTTGAAGATTCATCAACATAATTTCTAGAGTATGATTAGCGAAACTGATTTCCTTCTTTAGACATTTTGGACTTGACACGAGCGAATCTATAATCTATAATAATATAAAAAGGTTTTAGATTTATCTAAAAATGTAACTACTTTCCCGCCTAAAAAATTCATTTTTTTCCTTTATTAATAAAAAAATTTTATGACTGGCGGTCATAATTTGAAATTCGAATTAAAAACAAAATCTGTACATGGTCAAAATCTGTACACGGAAGAGCTCATATTTTAAACTTTTTTTAGACTTTATTTTAAATATAATTATTTATATTTTTCATATTTCGTCTATTATGAAAATAAAATAAATACAAACAATGAAAAATATATATTATTAAACACTTCTCTTTATACAATATTTTTAAAAAAAAATATTATCAAACCTTACAGTTTTGATTTTATTTTCTTTAAAAGTCAATTATCTCCATAAGAATAATCATACCATTTTAATTTCAAAAAAATTGGCAAGTTTGTTAGAGAGATAAATCTGGTTAGATAAATGATTAATTAATTAAAATATTATACTAATTGTATCTTTAAAAAATCGGTTAGATAATGTAGATAAAAAAATATAATATTAATTAGTTTGTTAGGAATGTGATTATATGAAAATCAAAATAAAATAAAATTGACTCAAAAAATTTTGTTTAGGATCTTTTTCTTTAAATGTTTGAATTTAAAATTTTAATACCGAATGTCGAGTCACATAAGAAAAAAATAAATAATAAACATTTATTAATATATTAAAATATGTAATTTTGAATTTCATATAAAGTAAAAGTATAATAATTCAAATTTATTTTTAAAATAAAAGCTATGATAAACATTTATTTGTTATGCATAAAATTTTTATTTTTTATTATTCTAATGATTTATATATTAAAGTGAACTTAGGTACGGTATGATTTAACTCATTTGAGGTTGTATCTACCTAAGTAATAATATGTGGCCAATTATTATTTTATCGGTTAATGTTTGTGTTGATGAAGTATTATTGGATAAAAAAAGATCATTCATTTAAATCATTTGAGGTTGTATCTACCTCATTCCGTCCGCACAAACGTATTATAGAAGGATTAACTCAAAAACCTAATTTGACAAACTAAATTACAAATTCATTTCCTTTTTTAACGGATAGATTATCTCCAACAAAAATTCATTTTCTTTTTTTACGGATAGATTATCTTCAACAATTTATTCTCATTGTGGAGTCATGATTTGGAATAAATCCAAAACATATTATGGCGTCATAATTTTCTAAATATTTACCGTATTTAATTATCTATGCTACCAATAATAATAAATTAATTAAACTACACATTACATAATTAAGAAGCAACATTCCATAAAAAATATGAGGCATATTAAATAAATAATGTCAATAAATATAAAAATAAATAAACAAATTTAACTGAAGAACTGTTTAATTCCATATCTATTATGGACTCTACAAGTGCCCAGACTTCTCTAACAAAACGNAAAAAACTAAACTATTGACTTCTATAATTTCGGCCGAAAAAACTGAATTCGTCAGGACAAATATTTTCTTGCGTTCGTCCATTTCACGTTGCTTAGAATCTCCAATCGTCTTCTTCGAGTGCGACCAGCCTTGGCGTCTTGTGGCCATCATCGACCTTCAGCCCGTCCTTGGAACAGCATCCCCGTCGCTAGTCATCATACTGGAAACATCAGCCCTGCCATCTCCGGCCAACACCCATCGTCTGAGTTTCACAACAGTCAGATAATCTTCGGTCGATCGTCATTCTCGCGAGACTGGTCTGTCCCCAGCCCCACTCGATCTTTTTCTCTGTTCATTAACAAACGACCTCGTATAGCCGCAGCCCGTCCCACGTGCGGCCATAAATGACTCATGTTTCCACAGCCGCACGCAACCACCAAGACCGGCCAGACACAACTAAAAAAAATCCGGCCATATATATATGTCTATATATATAATTTATTGTGTTGTCCAAACTTGGGTTCCAAAATTAAATAAATAAATATTCATAACTTACGGGTCGATATTAATTTGAACGCAAATAGAATAGTCAATTATTTATAATTTAATAAAATACTCACCTACTTAAATTTTTGATTTAGATATTTTTTACAAAAATAAATTCATTTTAATTAATGAAAAATATAAGTTTTATAATTATACCTATTATTCACATAGATTTTAAATATATGATAAATTTTTACAAAAATATTTATTTTATGGAATCACATTGTAGTCAAATAGAATTTCTGAATAAAAATTTTAAAATGAAATTTATTTTGAAATGAAAAAAAAATATAATTTATTATCAGTTACGTGTACTGTACGGGTTATGTACTAATTTTAAATAGACATATTTTATGTAATTTTACACAATTTAAGTTTCATATAACATTTTTAATAAATTAATATAGCTAAATTGTCTTAAATATTGATTCCATAGGTTTTTATTTATAAATACATTTAATGAGCATTTTTAATGTATAAATATTAATGAATTTCTCTTACCCGTGCATCGCACGAGATTCGTACTAGCTTGATTGAAGTAGTTGGTTGCCAGTGATCAATAATATTGCGTGCCTAGTCGATTTACACCTATCAAGGTGTGTTTAAATGCAGTTTGTTTCAGGTCTCTCCGTGTTCTTGATCTTTCCGAAATAATTTTAACTCTATGGTGCCTCATTGCTTGTACGCAATAGTATTGACTATTGAACATATGTATGTCCAGGCATATTATTGAATGATTTGAGTAAGGTCCTAGGTGATGTACTGATGTGTTGAAGAGTGTCAACTGTCAATGCAGAAGGGTTAGACATTGAAACATAAGGTTTTCTTCAAGAAAAGAAATAACAAATGGCAAAAAGTAATCTTGACAACTAATCGATTTGTATTTCTTTCTAACCTTTTCTTTTAGCTATCGATGGAAAATCCAAAATAAATCTTGCCAATTACTATTTGATTTGTATTTCGAACATTTTCTCGTGGTGATTGATGGAAATCCGGCATTTGAATTTCCGAAAGCATCAACTTATACTTTGTTAGTGTCCTAAATTATTGGAGAAATACCGACATAACTTTCTGATGAACGTACAGAGTTGTACATCTTTCTTGTCAATCGATTTTCAGAGAATCGCTTGTCAAAATCTAGGAATCATATATCTTTTTATGGATTCGAAAACCCTGAATCAATTTTATTGCTCGGATTGTATTTTTATAGCTGAGTCATACATTTGTATTTCATTTTAGTACTTCTCCAACATCGAAATCTAAATCAGGAAAGAAAGTGTAAATCGGGAAATCCCTTAAAAATGATAAATATATATGGGGTATGTGGTCATAACTAGGTTCAGTTTACATATTCAGGCACACATCAAGAACTTTGTGTGCCCTGAGGTAAATGAAAATATTCACAATACAACAATCCAATGACCGTCCACAATCCAGCAGGAATCAGTCAAACGGATCAAACCTTGGGTCGTGCTCACTCGCCATAGCCATTCCTGTGCAAAGACACGTTGGGCACATGACCTGAAAAAATCGAGAAACCATGATAACTTGTTAAAACTGAAATAAAAAGGCAATGTCATTGCGGGAAAGTCGCAAAAATGCAGCCAACGTACATTACCATTACGACAAGTTATGCGTCTGATAAATGTCGCATATACATTATCCAATGAAACTACGAGGGTAACACGTATGGTTCCTTTCAGTAATTAATTTAATCAATTCCACCATAATTTTCATCCCATCTTTATTGATTAACCATTCCTTTTGGCCCCTAGAACCGACCTCAATCAGGGCACGTAAAGTAAATTTATTGCATGTGCAGACATGCGGTAGGCAGATATTCATGTAAAAATATTAATATAAAATCTATGTACCTTTCCTGATCCCGAACAATTCGAACACCTTTCTGTCTTAGGAAGTGAGAGGGGCTGATCGTCAGCATTTAATGTGGAGACCGGTTGAGTAAGAACAACAGATCCAGTGCTTGTACATCGAGCACAAGCAAGATATCCTGAACATAACAAAACTTGATAAGAACCAATATGCCTCTACTATGCACACGAAAAAACTACATATAGCAAACAGAGATCCAGGAATAACGATTCAGATTCACGTGTTCTTGAAAATCAATCCATCAGTTCATTCGTGAAAGATTTATATTCAGATTCCCTAGCAGGATCCTAACCTTGCCCTTGGCATGATTGACTGA